AAAATATTAGAAGGAAAATGTTGTCTTTAAATGGATGTTCAATAATTTGGGCCACTATTTTGCAAATAAAACATCCACACAAACAAAGCGGTCTAACCAGCAAATAACTCCCTGTTAGAAGTATAGAAGACCACAATTCTTTTTTACCTTCTTCACACTTGGATTTTCTACTGTAATAGTTATAACTATTTATAACTTTGCCTTTACCATTCCTGAAACCCTTGTGTCCTTTTTACATGCAGCCCTTCTTACTAGTCCTTGAGCAGAGCTGTCATTTCTTTTGGGCAAGTCAATAACACCTAGCTTCTGAAAAATCTGATGTTCACAGTCCACAGTTTATATTTGTTATTATTTTTATCCAGACTAGGTTCAAACATGTTTTCTGTATTTTCATTCCTAAGAAAAATCATCACCATCCATATATCTGCAGCCAACATTCTTCTAAATGATTCCATTTGGTTACCTCATTTTCTCTGAAATATGCCTTCGGAAACTTGACTCTCACTACTTTTACTTCATTTATGAGTTGTTTATACAAATTTATAATGAATGAATCAAATTTATCCTAGTTTCCATAAAAGAAGAAACATAGATTTCTCAAATTTGCTAGGAAGTTAACAAACTCTAAAAGTAGTGACAACAATGGCAAAAATCTAACAATATGCAAATGCCCATTTGACTGAACACGGAAAACCTAAATCTGCCTAGTTTGGTTTGCGTAGCTACTATTTTGTTGCTAATTTTAGAAGGGGTTGCAAACATTTATTTAATCTATTGCACCAATAGTTTTTTAGAAAGGTACTATAAATCAAAGTTGGCATTGTGCATCATGATACAAATTGATGTACAAACTTGAAAACAATATATTTTTTTTCATTTGCATTAAGTGTGCTATAATAATGAGAGGCTGTGCTAGCTCATATGGTGTAATCAATCATATGTTAGTAGCTGGTAATGGTATTTATCTTCTCCCTGCAATCAGTGAATCCAGCTCAGAACAGCCTTTCCATATAAGTATTGTCATGCCCTCAGGGTCGTGAAGCAGATGGCCTAGCACTTTATTTTTACAAAATTTTTACAAAAGTTAGAAATTTGGATAGAAAAATATGCACTGTTTAGAGATGCAAGAAGCATCATGCTCTAAGCACCCTCTATTCTCTGATAATACTCAATGGTGCCCTGACTTCTTGTTTGAATAATTTAAGTTGATCACTACAATTGAGTATTGCAGTTAAGGAGAAGTTGTTTAGATTAAAAAAGCCTATATATGTAAAGGATGTTGTTCATTTTTCCTAGTTTAGTGATTAATTGAACTGCTCACTACTAGTTTCTCAAGCAGAAAGTTGCCATTCTGCAGCACTTCCTGCTGGTACATAGCCTACAGTTGGTTTTGTTCCATATTTCAACATTATGTTTGTGTAATTATTTCACATTAATGTTAAATTTTGTGGAAGCATCAAAGGATCATCATTGCTAAAGCATGAAGATATAAACATTAGCAAAAAAACGGAAAGCATAATCTTTTCAAACTATGCCACATAGTACACTGCTTAATGGCATTACTAAAATCTGGTTTATTTGATAGTGTTGAAGTTATGAAAGCATCCCAGTTTCTACACTTAAAATTTCAGGTATCTATCTTTAGAAGATAGTTTGGTGAAGTCCTGCCATTCATTCATTTATTCACTCAATTTTTAAATTTATCAACATTTAGTGAATACCTACTATGAGACAGAAACTTTGTTAGATGCTAAATGATTTTAAAAAAGAAAAAAAAAAGGGAAAAGAAGGGAGGGTCTCTTCTCCAAAAGAGTGTATGCAGTATAGATTGGCATCTGATCTAATGGATTTTGAGAGTCTTTCCTTTCCTGGAATTTATTAATTTAAACCTAAGCTGATACACTACAAAAATTTGGGAGCGATTCAGTTCTCCTAAAAGATTTGTTCTGCGAAGTGGCTGTTTCTTGATGGAGTTCTGTCCCTGCTAGGTATTTTAGCTTTACTCTTTCTTCTCTCTTACCCATTTCAGGGTTCACCTACTAAACTATTACAACAAAGTGAATAGAAATATTTTCTTGACTTTTTTGACTTGATTATTAGTAATTTATTATTATTATTAAGTTTTTTTTGAAAAAACAAAAGACTGTATGCCTTACTCCTAAGGAGGTATAGCGAAAAGTTAGATACAATAAAACATATTTTTTTAATTTTTATTGCATTATTAATTCTTATTTCAGAAATATACTCATTCATATAAAGACTACAGAAAGGGCAAACAATTTTGTTATTTAGCCTCTTTAAATTCTTTAAAACTCAGAAAATTTCTGTATAACTTCATAGAGATTAGCATAATTCAGTGGTACTGGAGGCTTAGAAGAGTGAGTGTTTGAACTGGTTCTGTATATGGTCATTTTTAAAAATCTGATGGTTTGCACATTTTTTAAAGTTTGGAGTCTTAGAACAATGTAGATTCTAATAGATTATATAATAGTTTCATATTTTATTATAGAAGTGTATGGATTTTTTTTCATTTAAAAGGGTATTTTAACAGATTAAGCATTCATTTGACTTTCAGTGTTTACATACATTGCATCTGTCACTCTTGAAATGCACCTTTTGAAATGCAGAAGTAAAGTTCTGTAAATATAAAATAGCTGCCTAATCAAGTTTTCATTTCACTATCAAACTATTTTTGAGATCAGGTGTCAAAACTAAAACTGCAAGTGAATTTTTTGAGACAGACTGTCTGTTAACTTCATTCAGAATGGCAGATTCTTTCCTCCCAGAAAATTACTTCCTTTTCCCTTCCCCAAATAATAATAGACAAAATATATTCAATTTAAACTGACATTTCCTCAGATATAGTTTAGTCACTTAGACACCTGAGAACTTCAGCTTTCAAAACCTGTAAAAGTAACCATCCCTTTTTGTGGGCTTGAAAATAGTCCACTTAAAGACTTTGGCTCATGATAGATTACTTTATTATTCCTTATAGAATCATCAGGGTGTTAAATACTAGAAAAATATATCTTTAGAGTTTTAATTTCTATCATTCGTAAATATTAATCTAAATATTTCCCATAAGGAAATGTGGATTTCTTGTATAATTACTTTAAAGAGTGTTTCTTTTGTTGACATTTATAAATTCATACCATGAATAAAGAATATTTTGAATGAAGACCTTGGAATTTCTCTGGTTCTTTATTTATAAAGTAAGAACCACAGTATCTGAATCAGAATGCAGTTTTTAGTAGAAAAGGAGACAATAGGTGAAGTGCTTAATATTTTATCAAATATATAGTAGAGAGTTAATGTAAGTTTTTGTACTAACATGCTGATTTGTAGTTCATCAAGGGTGGGGCAGGTAGTAATGGTACTCTTTGACAAAATGTTGCTATATCAGTATCACTAAAGAGAAAAAGACCACGTATATAACAAAAATTAGTTAACATTATGAAAAAAGTGGTAGAATCTCTCACTGCCTTTTAAATAAAAATTCCCATCTGCACAACATGGAATTAAAAAAAAAAGTAAAGACACTAAAAAGCAATATTAATTACTTTTAAAAGATTTCTGGTTAAATTTCAGGCTTAAAATGGAGTTGAGGAGACATTGTTTAGTTCTGCTTTGTGAGTAGATAAAAGAGAATTAAAAAGTGACCTGCTTTTTGCCAGATAGTGTTTCTGATGGCTAGTGAAAGGACGTAGACTAAAGGAAAAAGATGGCATTTTAAATGAGAAAAATCATTTTTTATGGTACATTAAGGATTAATTGACCAGAAATCCAGGATGTTATACTGGATACAGCTGATGGCAGGATTGTTTTATTTTCAGAAAAATCTCAATTCTGTAAAGATAAAAAATAATGAATTTTAAAACTAATATATGCTTTAAATAAGAATAATATGTAATTAATCTAGAAAGGAAAAGAAGACAATTTACACCTGTAAATAGTCTTTTTCTTTTTCATTATTCTGTAATAATTCTTCAAATCAAAACTGAGAAATGCTCACTGCAGTCCAAAATTTATCTTGTGTCAAACCTTTTATTTCTGCTGCTATAAGAATCTTCTGAAACCAATGATAGTAATTGCGAAGTCTTCGTTGGTTTAAAACATTCCAAATGGACAATATGAAGCACAAACTTCTTTAGTAAAGACTGTCTTAAAACTAAAATTTATTCTGATCACTTCTATTCTGACTGATTCCAGTTAGAACAGATGTTATATTATAAAAATATTATTTCATTTTTATTACTTCTACATCCATGATTGAGCCAAGTCTTAAAATTTAAGTCTGGATTTGGGAGGTGGGAGGAAAAGGAAATAGAAAATATGTTCTTTGAGTTTGACAAATACTCACATGTAAGATAACATCAATTTGGATAAAGAACATTGTTTTTTCTTTTTTCATTCATCTGTCCTGGTTCACATTGTATAATAAAGGATGTTTCATCTTTATGAACACTTTGTTTAATCTGTTCTTTACCAAGAGAAATGTATGAGTTAATGCCAGTTCTAAGAAATAAGTGGGAAATATTTTTTTAAATGTCATCTTGCTTTCTTTACATGCTTTATTTAAAAACCCCATTTTTCATTGCTAAGAACAATATATATATTCCTCTTACATTGCAACTATCTTCTGGGTACCTTGAAATCCACTTATTTTATGATCTTTTTCAATGTTTAGACAAATATTTTTCTAAAATGTTCAACATAATACATTAGAAAATTACTATAAATAAGGTGCATTTAAGGCAATTGCTCCATTTAGAATTATTTAGGCATTAATGTATATCATTTAAAGCACAAACAACACTTACAATTGAGTTGATCATTTTAATGAACATGTATTGTTTTCATTTGGATGTGTCCTAAGCACTCAGCAAATGCATTACAGTAACGAATTCCTTAGCATTTACAAATAACTCATTAATAGTTGTGTGTTTCTGTTACCGTATTAAAGCATTTCTAATTCTTCCATTTCTTATCTTATCTTATAGGAAATAAACGATGTGGATGTTCAGGAACTTGTAAGAAGGTCAATTGGAAGGTTAACAATCATCCGGCAGACATTTCCAGTCCCCCAGAACATAAGTCAGCGATGTTTCCGTGGCAACCATCGAATATCTTCAACATTGTGTGATCCAAAGGATCCATTTGCTCAGAATATGGAGGTATATTCTAAATGCTACAGTATTTATCTCGAGGTGCTTCACTGACCAATTTTAGAGAGGGCTTTTTGAGTTGTATTAGATTTAGAATGATACATGTTTGCATGTTCTGGACTATTCTCTTCCTCTAGAAATTTAGTAAGTCTGATGCAGGAGTGCTAAGAATTTGTGTCTTTGATCTTTTTGACCTCATTATAACAAAGTATATACTCATTTAATAAAAATATAATAATCAAAGTTTATTTCCTTTTCAGCAAGTAGATCTATAGCATTTACCATGGTAGAATTTGTGATTGACATTCCTTAATGCTGAATTCCAAATTATTAAATTTGCTTGACTTTTCTGGCATAACAAGGACACAGACATTTATTCTTCTTTTAAAGATTAGTCTCCAGTTTGAAGATATTCATCAAAAAACTACTTAGAAATGCAAAAGGTATATATAGTCCTATCCAAATCAGATGGAATATAATTGAAACCTTTGCTATTCAGAATACAACAAAGAACTTGAAAGTAAATGAATAAAATCTCTGAGCAGCAAAATAGAAGACATCCAATCCCTGCAATTTACTCATAAGGATGTCCTTTAAATACTCACCTGGAGCCTATTTTCTTTTTTCTTGAGGAACATGTTATCAGATTCTGTTTTATTTAGTTTTATTTCCTTTGCACTGGAAATCTCAATATGTCAGGTTGAATGGGGTGTTACCAAGGCAGGCATATCGACAACAGTCAGAAGCCATAAGGAGCACTTTCTAGCAGGCAAAAGACAGGAAAAAATAAATTAATCAGATATACTAATTCAAATATCCTGTCAATGTAGGACTTTTCCTATAAAAACAACTCTGTCATAAAACAACTCCTAAGGGTATGATCGTATACTGCTAGCATATTAGTATTTAAACAATAACTCAGATGGCAACAGAGATTAAAGTAATAGTCAATTTCAGAAGTCGGAAAAATATGTATTTTAGAAAACTATTCCTTCAAAATGTTTAATATCAAAAATGCTCTAGTGCTTAGAGATGCTCAGTTTGAACAGTTTGGAAATAAAACCCTATAAGAACTAGTTCATCCCCAATAATACTGGATAAATCCCCAATAAATAAATACTGGACATTTTGTAAAACGACTTCTTCCTTTGAAAGACATCTCCACATTTTTCCTATCTTTAGTCAGCTTTGGATTTTTATTTTTAGATGAATTACTATTTATCCAACCACTTCTTCATACTTATTACCATTGTAAGGAGCAGCATATATTTACCAGGACCATTGCCCACAGAACTTTGTGTTCCCTACTAGGCTTTAGGCTCTTTGAGACTAGGTCTCCTCCAGGATCTGGTATCATAACATCCCTTGAAGTACACGTCTACTTGTTTCCTCCATCACACCTACCACATTGCTTTGCTTCTTCATGAATATTTATGGCTTTGAATGTAATTAAGGAGAAGGCAATGGTTAAAGTAAGCCACTCTGAAGCCTAAACAAGGCCTGTTTAAATTTTAATGCCAGTCTTATGTGCTTATAATGACCCATCTTTTCATATTAATTGGTCATGAGCCTGATTGATATGAAAATAATAGAATTCTAAATGGAGAAAATGGAAGAATTTTGATTAAGAAAATTTTGAAATAGTAAAGGCCATTCCTGTGAAAGGAAGTAGCAGGAAATGTACAAATTGGGAAAGCAGAAAGTAACAACACAGTATTTTAAAGCACATTCACCTAAAAGCATAATCCTTCTGGTTCAGTTAATGAGTACCTTGAAATCAGGAAACAAATATTTTCCTCCTCCCTTCCTCCCTCCCTCCCTCTCTTTTTCTTTCTTTTTCTTTCTTTCCTTTCTTTCTTTCTTTCTTTCTTTTTCTTTCTTTCTTTCTTTCTTTCTTTCTTTCTTTCTTTCTTTCTTT